AAAAGCACTATTTTGTATATATATTTAGTCGAGACTCACGTGTATCATTCCTGAAAATAAGTGAATTTGGCTTTTCCTGCAATGAAGCGGTTTTATTGTAAATTCTTGAATTCTTAAGGCTATTTACTTACAACTTTTTTTTTCTATTATTTGCCCTATAGATTTGATTTCATAAGGGCTGTCGTTTAGGGGCAATATGGTATTTTAATCTCTTACCTGATTTTTCACTCAGTCATTTCCACAAAACGCAACTTATTGTACCGTTTTTGTCTTGCATTTTCCCTTCCTTTTCTGCATTTTTCTCCGAGGCATACATAATTTCCCTCCATGTATTTCCGATGAGTTTAGATGATGGAAGGTTCTGCACAATAGGGTAAAAGGAAATTTTGCAGGAAAGAAAAGACTGAAATACAGGTTTGTGGTACAGACTCTAGTCGATGAGCTGTTTTCTTCCATTTTAGGGATGGAGTGAGACAAGGATAGATAAATGGAGGTTGCAGTTCCAGGGACCAAAGACTCTGGCTCTTGAATTGCAACCATTGAGTTTCGTTTTCCTTGGGTTCTGCCCATCAGCTCTTGCCTTCACTTTGTTTTGAGGACAGTTTGGTTTTTAAAAGCCTATTGGAAGAAAGGGAAGGGCATTGCGTTGAGTTCGGGGAGATGATGGGGAGCCATGCCCATGAATGAGGGATAGAGAAGAAGGGAGAGATAGAAGGCTGCTCAGCTACAGGCGAAGGTGTGAGAGTGGAAGTTCTGCTGCTGTTTCTTGGCTAAGATGTGGAGGAAGGCTCAGATGAGAGAAGAAAAATGGCTGTAGGATTTTGCTGTCTTGGCATTGTATTATTAAGTCCCGTTTGGTTCGTCAGAATCCACTTTTCGTGTTTTCATCATAATCGATCGAGACCCAGAAATGCAAGTTGAACAAATTTGTACCTTGATTTGTATTTTTGACCGAAGAGGAAAGAAAGGGAAAAATTCAGAGTAAATGATCGTTTAAACAGGGTATGCTTTGTTTGATTGTAGTGTTAAATGGAGATTATTAAGTTGATTTGCTGAATTGGAGGGATGTGTTTGGTTCAAACCCTTTTGAATTAATCTGGCGTTTTTCATCTGTTGCAGGGGACCTAGGAAGAGAGGCATGGAAATGCAACCTTAGGAGGAGGGTTCTTCTCATGTAAGTTGTTTATTTCTGTAGATTTCCTTCTCTTTCTCCAATTTATTTCTTTCATTTCTTGAAAATCTTGCTTCAAAATGCCCCCGTAGATACAAGTCTCTATTTTTACTCGTGTTTCATAGCGTTTCCTGAGAACCCACTCCCCTTTTCTAGTTCATTTTGGCATTTTTGAAGATACCCACTTTGGGATCGTTGTTAGATTGCGATTGGGTTGCTTTTCTAGTGTCCATCTCTTCTCAGCCCAACTTATAAAAGTGATAATTTATAACAATTAAATTAATTTTAATTAATATTTTATTTTATATAATTTTGTAATTTTATTAATATATTAAAATTTTTAAAATAATGATTAATAAATAATAATATAATTATTTACATAGTAATTAAAATACTAAAAAATCCACTACTATAACATTTCGCAGCAATATTAGCCACAACCTTAGTTTAGTAATTCAGGTTCTTGAGTTCTTCAAATTGAAAACATTCACTGTAGAGCAAAATTTTGTACTATATTTAATTCAAGCATACCATATACCATATAAAAAAAAAGATCAATCCCACATCTTTAAGGAATAAAAAAGGATGCACATATTTAGATGTTTTGCACTACTGGTTTTGCATAAGCGTCTATAAATTTCTGCCCATGATCATCTCAAATTTCATATGTCATTCCCACCCTTAGAACCCTGGTGTGTGGGATTACCAATACTGTCTCTCCTTGCCTGAAGTTTCTCCTAAGAAAACTGTAAAGATTGTTCACAATTATCTTCCGGAAAATAGTGGACCTTTTCCCAGCTACCACCTCAGCTTCTCCCAATAGATAGACCACTCCTTCATCCTTTGCATTCTGCACAAACTGTATCTCCTCATCAACTCCCTGGATGGGTGCAGATATGATTCGACTAGAAGCATTCGACCTGGCTGCATTGAATGACTGAATTGATCCAGAGGAAACACGAGACAGGTTGCTCTGTTGTTGTGTTGACTCCTCTACAGATTCAGGTGGTTTATTGTTTCCTCCAGCAATGAAGTACTCATGGCGGATGAATTCCTTCAAGTGTTCAACTAACTGGCGCTCAAACACCTCAGGTTCCCCCATGACATCCATATAGCCATACCTGACCACACAGCGGAACATCCTGTACTCTCTTGGCTGCACCTGTCTGAACATAAACCTCTCCTCCAATGCAACTCTGGTAACAGGAATCTTCTTGATCGAGACAAACACTAGAACTGAATGAATGGAGGGGACTTGGGCAATGAAATGAGGAAAAATTGGAGGTATCCCCTGCACAAGCTCAGAGTAGAAAAGCCCTATTCCTGGCACCCTGCTTATTGCTGGATTTTCAGCCAGTTGTCTAATGTATTCCCCAGAGACCTTATGCTCAAGCTCAAACAAGTACCTTTTCCGGTATACATAATACCATATTGCCATAGTTATCATTAAGACAAGGGCAAAGGCCAGGGGAAGGTAGCCGCCCTCTATAAACTTATACAAGACAGAGGAGAAATATATAATTTCAATTGACCCAAAAATCAGAAAGAAGAGAGCAATCCACCATATGCTTATCTTCGATGTAACCAGCATTATAAGAGTAAGCATGGATGTAGTGATAAACATAACAGCAACAACAGCAATTCCTATAGCCAAAAGAAAGATAAGAATTAATTTCTGTTCCTCAAAAGGAATTTTTAATTAGTACTCAATTTTTCAGCTTACCATATGCATTGCCGATCTTTGTCGTGGTTTTGAATGCAGCAGTGACTATAACGCAGGCAACCATGAGCATGTAGTTGATCTCAGGTATATAAACCTGTCCTTCATACTTAGCAGAGGTATGGATTACCTTAACTTTTGGGAAACACCCAAGACTTAAGGACTGAGATATGATCGAAAATGTTCCAGATATCATAGCTTGGCTGGCAATGATAGCAGCCAAAACAGCTACTACAAATTGTGGCCAATATAGTGGATCTGCATGTATGATTGATCTCTTAGAAAATATTTACTGAATAAATGAATCAGATGATAGACAGCTTCATGTTTTATGGAATTTTAATTACGCGGAATTGATTTGTAGAACGTCTTGTCAACATGTTCAGGGTGTTTGGTGAGATACGCAGCTTGTCCTATATATGCAATTACAATTGATGGCAATACAACTGTGGAAAAGCTAATCTGCAAAGGTCATGTGAAATTGTAATCAAAATGGAGAACATGCAAAGCAATATATACCTACAACTGCCTTTTGTACTCTCTAAATTGACATAGTGGTTTAAGTTGTCCAAAGTTTTGAGTCCTAACACAATAATAGACTAAGCTTCTTGGGCCATAACAAACTTCTGATTCTTATAACAAAACCAATTTATAGAAAAAGAGCATGGAAATGGAATCTATTTCCTGAGTACTTACTTGAATTGCTCGGACATTGAAGTGACCTAGATCAGCAAACATGGCTTCCGTTCCTGTTTCAAAAATATCACATACTTAACCAGTCAAGAAATGTTTCATCCATTTAGCATATTTTAAAGTTAACTGAAAAGGGTGGAACACTAAATAGACAGACCAACCTGTGATGCAAAGAATCACTCCACCAAGAGAAATCCATCCTGACTTTCCATTTCTCTGGAAGTATCTGACTATGTAATATGGATTAAAAGCACGTAACACGCCCACCTCATATTTGAATAGGTTATACAGACCTATACCAGTTAGGAATGCAAACCAAACAGAGATAATGGGTGCAAATGAAAATCCAACTTTATCCGTCCCAAACCGCTGGAAGAGAAAAAGGCCGATCAGAATTGCTACTGAAACTCCCACCACGGCATCTGCAAATCAATGGTGCTGTATTAGACAAATATATGCAGCTTATGGCAAACAAAGCATATGAATAAGGTACAGAGGGAAAAATATTAACATGGTAAAAGTATGTACCGGTACTGAGGGAGGAGATGCCACCCACTGCAGATAGAACTGGAAAAATAACAGGAAAAAAAATTTTTAATATGTCAAGAGAAACAACGGTTTTCATACTGAAGTGCTCCTAATTTCATTTTTATCAATTTAATCCTACTTTTTAAATTAAATGTACCACTTAACAATCAGTTCAAGGCAGGCGATGTGGCCTTTCTTAATATGTCGTCATTTATTTTTTTTTTATTTACAATTAATAGCTTTTGCCACTAAATTATAAAACTAATCATATTTATTCATTAACTAACAATTATTTAGTGACAACCCCAGTCTAGATATATATAACAATTTCCTAGTTTTAAGGTATCATCTAAATAAAATAATGGTTTAATGGTATGATTCTTGTTTTAAGATTAAAAAAATATGTTAATTTGTTTTTTATGGATGGCATGTTAGTGTACGGAAAAACTCAAGTTTTCTTTTCGATTAAGAATAAAAAAATAAAATTAATTAATAACAAGAATTTGTTTCCGTTGTTGAGTTTAGTTCAGTCTGCACAATTTGGATAATCTTTATAACCTTTTGAAAAGTTGAAGAGCTAAATTTCAAAAACCAAAAAATTAAGAAAGACTTAATCGCTAAAATAACATAGGATCTAGTTTTGGTAACCCTTAAATTTACCTTCCAAATAAAAATATAGGGATAAATTTGTCCAAAAAAAAGATAAATTATCGCTTTAAATTGTGGTTAAAATAAAATATTCATTATTTAATATATAATACTATTACATGTCAAAAATTCATTTATCATCTATATATTTTTTAACAAAAAATTGATATATGATAACGTCATATATTAAATGAGTTATTTATTTTAATTAATAATTTTGAAAAATAATTTATTTTTATATATTTTTAGGAACAAATATATCTCCACTCTCCTATTTAAAGTGTGAGTTTAAAGATTTTGCTGTCTAATTTATGGGCTTTCCATAAGCAGTATAAAGCTGTAATTAATCTTTTGTCAATAAAATTAA